GCTGGTTTTCCCCGCGGAGCACCTACCCTCCCCGCTCCCGCCCCCTCCAGGCTGACCTTGCCTTCTCCGCCGCGGGGGGCCCCCCCCCCCCCCCCCCCCCCCCCCGTAATCTCAGCAGTTTAAGATGCTGAGGCAGGAGGATCACCAGTTCAGGGCCAGCCTCAGCAACTCAGTGCGGCCCTGCCTCAAAATAAAAAACTTAAATGGGCTGGGATGTGGCTCAGTGGTCCAGAGCTTGGGTCACTCCAGAGAGACCAGGGCCTGCGAGCCTCTCCTCCTCCCCAGCCCCGGCAGCCAGGGCTCTTTCTGTCCCTACGGTTGGCCTGCTGGGGCCACCAGCTTGGCCAGGCAGGCCGTCCAGGGCCTCCGGCCACTGGTGTCTTTCAGGGTGCACAGCGTCCTCAGGTCCCACCACGTCTAGCGTGTCAGAGCATGTCCCTCTTCACACTGAGCTCCTGCGTCCATGTACCTGTGGTGACGGGCACTTGGGCTGCTTGCCCCCCTCCCAGGGCAGCTCTGATGGCGTTGTGAGCGTGGTGTCCAGCTGCTCTTGGACACGTGCTTCCCATCCTTCTGGTTTTTGCAGCCGTGGAAACTGAACCCAGGACTTGTTTCTGGGCACCAGTGCCCCCCACTGAGCCGTGGCCTGTGGTTGGCCAGTGTCCCCACCAAGCCGTGGCCCAGTCCTTTGTATTTTATTTTGAGACAGGGTCTTGCTGAGGTGCCCGCTGGCCTGGAATTGCCGTCCTCTGGAGGGGCCGGGATTGTGCATGTGGCTGCCGCCTGGCACCACTTCAGTTCTTGCAGGTGGACAGGGAGGGTCAGGCGGGCCAGCACTGGGCAGGCTCTGAAGGCGGCCTAAGCGCTTCGTGGTCCCTCAGGGCCGTTCCTGCAGTGGGAGGGGTGCTGGGGGCCTGTCAGCCCAGAGGCCTGGCTCCATCCTGGGGTCTCCCGAGGGCCTGCAGGGACGTGAGGAGTAAGTTCCTGGGCTGGATGCTGTCCTCCTTGTTCCCACAGGTGTGCGGGAGTCTGTGTCCCCCACAGCACAACTAGACACCCCAGAGCCCGAGGAGCCACCCCTACTGCCAGAGCCCCCCGACAACCGTTCCAGCACCCCGTAAGCCATGGCCCTGTCACCATGCGGTGGCCTGCCTGTCCTCATCCAGTGTGCCCAGAGCCCTGCGATGCGCACGGCTGTGTGGGCCCACTGGCCGGCACCTCGCCTCCCTCCTCCGCGCTCTCCATTTTTCCTGCTTCCTCCTTCCTTCCTTCCTTGTGCTGGGACTGACCCTCAGGTGCTGCACTCTGAGCCGCACCCCAGTCCTTTTCCTCTGTGGTTTTAAGACAAGGTGTCACCAAGGTGCCCAGGCGGACCTGGGACTTGCCATCCTCCTGCCTCAGCCTCTCGTCGCTGGGTTTCCGGGTTGCCCAACCGCACTGGCGGAAGGGGCGGTCAAGGCGGAGGGTGCGTGGTCTGCAGGCCTGGGGGCTTCTGCAGCTGAGCACGAGGGCCCATCCACTGCCCTTGGCCACACTGCACGGTGGTGGGGGGAGCCAGGGCCTCTGCTCCAGGCTGGCCCAGCCGCTGCCTCTCTGGGAGCTGGCCCCTGTCGTGGAGGGCCATGCACTCTGGCTGCTCAGTTACTCAGTGGCCCCTGATTGTGGGCCGTAACCAGGGACAGCCATGGCACTTTCTGTGGCCGTGTTCTGGAGGTGGGATTGGGGTCCGGCCTCTTGGTGGGACACGGTTCCCCTCCGGCCCACAGCGCAAGGAGCACCCACAGCCCCAGTGTGCTCAGAGGTGGCCCCTGCCACCCTGGGACGCTGCCCAGAGTCCATGGTGATGAGGGCTCCTTGAGAGCACCTGCTCCCATTCTTCCTTTTACAAATATATTCTGGCACCAGGGAACGGATCCAGGGCACTCAACCACCCAGCTCCACCCAGCCCTTTTATAGGTGGACACAATATCCTTATTTTACATGTATGTGGTGCCGCAGTCTGTCTGGGCACAAATAACCGAGCCGCCAAAAAGCCTTGTAGATTCAAACAGCAACTCTTTATTCCCGAACTCTCACCGGCACTCTACACACACTTCCCGGGAACACACTCCCTCCACTGGGCTCCAATTCTCTCAGAACCCCAAGGGGAACTCCCAAGTAGTGGGTGCCTGAGGCAGCAGGATCCGCCCTAATCCCAGCAGGATCTGCCCTATTCCCAGCAGGATCCGCCCTAATCCCGGAGGGCCCTAATCCCTGAGCAGGGTTACCTTTCAACCATTCCCTCTGGCAAAAATGCCAGGCATCATTCTGACTAAACTGTGGCTCTCAACAGTAGCGCTTGCCTGGCATGCGTGCAGCCTGGGTTCAGTCCTCAGCACCACATACAAAGATGTTGTGTCTGCCGAAAACTAAAAAAAATAAATAAATATTAAAATTCAAAAAAAAAAATTTTTTTTGGTACCAGGGATTGAACCCAGGGGTGCTTAACCATTGAGCCACATCCCCAGCCCTTTTTTAAAAAGTTCTTCTTAATAGGTTTTTTTTTTTTTTCAGTTGTCAACAGATCTCCATTTTATTTACTTATTTACTTGTAGTGCTGAGAATTGAACCCAGGGCGTCACACATGCTAGGCAAGCGCTCTGCCACTGAGCCATGTCCCCAGCCGTTTTTATATTTTGAGACAGGGTCTCACCAAGTTTCTTAGGGTCTTGCTAGGTTGCTTAGGCTGGCCTTGAATTTGAGATCCTCCTGCCTCAGCCTCCAGAGGGGCTGGGATTAGGCGTGCACCACCACGCCTGGCCCATGCCTCCTCTTTGAGGAGCCAATTCACAGTCCCGCCAACAGTGTAAAAGTACTCCTTTCCCTCCACATCCTTGCCAGCATTTATTGCTATTTGTATTTTTTTTAGAGGAAAAGTTTATTTGGGGGCTCATGGTGTCAGAGGTCTCAGTCCATAGAAGGCTGCTCCGTTTCTGGGGGCTCACGGTGAGGCAGGATGTCATGCGAAAGTGTGGGCTTCGGGAAGCCGTGTTCCTGGGGACTGCCGTTGTGACTGGTGTGAGATGTAGTCTCAGTGTTGTCTTGTGCGTTTCCCTAGTTGCAACTGGTGTTGGACATTTTTCATATATCTGTGGGCCTTTTGTGCTTCTCTGGAGAAGCATCTGGTCCCTCTGTCCGTTTAATGAGGGGGACATTTGTTTTTTTATGGGTGAGTTTTTACATATTGTGGCTATGAATCCCCTGTCAAGAGAGCAGTTGGCAAGCTCGCCCCTCTGTGGGCTCCCCATGGGTCCCCTGTTGCAGGAAGCCAGGATCCGGGGGTGCGTGGCCTGGCACCTCCTGCCCACCTGGCCCTCTTCCCGCAGGCCCAGGAAGGACGTGCCCCACAGGTGCAGCGCCCATTTTGACGCAGTGGCACAGATCCGTGGCGAAGCCTTCTTCTTCAAAGGTGCCCCCAGGGCCCAGGGGTGGGAGGTGGCGGGATTCAGCCCACGGGGTCCCCAGACTCGCCACCTGCAGCCACCCCCTTGTCCCCTCAGGCAAGTACTTCTGGAGGCTGAACCGGGACCGGCACCTGGTGTCCCTGCAGCCGGCGCAGATGCACCGCTTCTGGCGGGGCCTGCCGCTGCACCTGGACAGCGTGGACGCCGTGTATGAGCGCACGAGTGACCATAAGATTGTCTTCTTCAAAGGTGGGTGGGCCTCCCCAGCTCTGTGGCCTTGCTGACGGAGGCTGCAGCGGCACCCACAGCACAGACGCACCTGCCGGGAGGCTGCTCCGTGGTCTGCTCCACAGTCCAGAGCACAGAGCCCCTCGTGCCTTGTGCACTAGGTGGATACATATTGAGCACCTGCTGTATACCCAGCCTGTGGTAGTTCCTATAGGTACACAGGGAGCAACATGACAACCCAGGCCTCGTGCTAGAAAGCTCTCGCAAGTACTAAGAATGTCAGCTGAAGGAGGGCTCAGTGTGGGGAGGACTCAGGTTGGCACAGAGCACCTCGAGCAAGGAAAGCCACTTCAGGAGATGCCATTTGAGCCGGGCACAGTGGCACCTGCCTGTAACCCCAGCCACTCTGGAGGATCACAAGTTCGAGGTCAGCCTCGGCAACTTAGATCCTGTCTCAAAATAAAAAGGACTGGGAATATAACTCAATAGTAGAAATGCCCCTGGGTCCACTCCTCAGAACCAAAAACAACCCCAGAGTTCCAGAAACAGAGTTCAGGTCAGGGACAGTCAGTGCCAAGGCCCTGAGGCAGCAGCCGTCCTGCTGAGCACAAAGAATGCCTAGTTTGGGAAAGGCCTGGAGGCCTCATCACTGGGATAGTACCCACCCTCGGGAGCAGGTCTCCTGGGCCCACCCCCTGGAGGGGACCAGCAGGAACTCGCCCCTCCCCACCGTGGCCCGTGGCCCGGAGTCTGACCTCAGTGAGGACAGGGCGCCCTGGGCTCCAGGAGCACTGTCCAGGCCTCTCAACCCCATATAGCGCTGGCCGCGTGGGCTGCGCCTCCCATCGGTGCCGCCTCTGGTCTCTGATGAGGAGGCCCAAAGCAGCAGGATCCTCTTTTAGCCACGATTCCTGCAGAACCCCGGCCAGCAGGGCCACGTGCTGAGGGCCCAGGACTCGAGCCCCGGGGAGGGTCAGCCCAGCACTGGCCGCCTGCTCCTCCTGGAGGTGCAGAGAGCCTGGCTGCGGCTGCCTCTTGTAGCTGCTGCCTCCCTCCCATGCGTCTCTCACATAGCCCTTGTAGTCCCGGGCACCTGCACTGGCAAGCCCTGGGGACCCTCGGGTGAGTGATGCTTCAGGAGAGGCAGGTGGGACCCTTGGGTGGTGGAGGCCGGAGGCTGCCCCTGGGACCCTGCTCCGCGGCAGAGAGCAGCATGTGCAGTGGCTCCTGTAGTGTCTGTTGCTTGGCCGTGTCCCCGTGTCCCCGGGAGGACGGTGCACCGTGAGCAGCACCGCTGCTCCTGCTCTGCACATGGCCCACGTGGGCCCATCAAGACCCACAGAACCTCCTCCTTTTTCAAAATTTTATGTTGGGGGGAAAAAATCAGACTTGTAGAAAAACTGCAGAACTATCACATGGGCCAGGCACCCTGGTGCTCGCCTGTGATCCCTGCAGCTCAGGAGGCTGGGGCAGGAGGATCCAAGTTCAAGGCCAGCTTCAGCAAAGTAGCAGGACCCTGAGCAACTTAGGGAGAACTGTGACTAAATAAGATACAAAGAGGTATGGGTTTGGTCCCCAGGACAAGTGGCCCGTTCCCAGTACAAAACACAAAACGAACCAGAACAAAAAGTAGCAGGGTCTTCTGGACAGGGAGACGCAGACTGCAGCACTGCGCTCCTAGAGTCCCACAGAGCCCCAGCAGCCACCAGTGACCAGATGCCACCATCCAGGGTACAAGCTCGCCTGCCACCTGCCCACAGGACCGCCAGGGTCCCTGTGTGCTCGGCTGCCTCCCTGGTCTCTGACCGGAACGTCCCCTGGGCCTATGGTGCTGCTCCCATCAGGAGCTCCAGGCCTCGGGGTCTGTGCCTCCCAGGGTCAGGTCCTGGGCTCCCACTGGCCGAGCATCACCGAGGGCTGGTGTCTGACCCGTCCCTCCCAGGGATGCTCCCTGGGGTCATCTGCAGAGGCTGCCCACAAGTTTCTCTGCTGCTATGCGTTTTGGGTGAGACGAGAGGCCCAGGTCCATGGGCTTTGCACCCATGTCCCCGATGGAGCCTGCCAGTTCCTGTGCTGCCTGCTTTCAGCTGACCTGTGTCCTCCCCCAGGGAGCCGGACAGAGCTCCATAGCGGCTCTCGTACCCTTGACCCTTCTCTGCTACAGCATCACAGCTGTCCCTATCTGGAACACTTGTGCGTGAGTGAGTGTGTGTGCGTGTCTGTGGTGTGTGTCTGTGGTATGTGCATGTGTGTGGCACCGAGGACTCACCCAGGCTTCCCCATGCCAGGCAGGTGCCCCACTACTGAGCCACACCCAGCCCCTGGTGGTTCCTTTCAGTGATGGCAGGAAGGAGGCCCGTGACAGACTCTGATGTTCAGCTGTTTCCAGCGCGTGACTTGGTGCTGCTGGGCATTGGCCTTCCACCCACAGAGCTCGCCATCTGCCCAGACTGAACACCAGCTGGCCCCTGGCTCCCGTTCCCTCTGTCCCTGGGGGTCTGGCTGCTCCAGAGCCTCCCTGAGTGCCTGCACGCACAACGCGCTCCAAGTCCATCCTTGTTGGGGCCCGTGGCAGGACTCCCCTCCTTTTTGCTACTGGGGTTGCACCCAGGTGCTCCACCCTGAGCATCCGCAACCCTGTCTGTCCTTTGCGACACGGTCTTGCTAAGGTGCCCAGGCTGGCCTCAACTTGCCATCCTCCTGCCTCAGCCTCCTAAGCTGCTGGGATCATGGAGGGCGACACATGCCGGGCAGAATTTCCCCCACCTCAAGGCTGAATATGGTCCATCCTGAGGACCCACTGCAGTCTGCCTGTGCGCACTGTGGGTGGAGCTGGGGCTGCTGTGCACAGGGCTGCTGCACCCCGGCCTGCAGGCCTCTCTGGGGATCCTGCTCAGTTCTTGGTCTCTGGCGGGGCGAGGGCCTCTGCCTGGCTCTGCTGGTCACTCTCTGAGGCGCCAGGCTGGGGCCCCACCATGTTTGTTCCCACCAGCTGACCAGTGTGCCACCTTGCATCCTGGCCACCCTCCCTCATGTCCTCCCATGTGACTCAGACCCTCTGTCCAGCAAGGGGCTTTGAAGCGTCTTGCTTACTGCGTAAATCCACACGCAGGCCTTGACCGAGCACCTTGCTTGATTTCTCCATGAAGACGTTCCTAGCCCCCTGCCCAGAACTTGGGTAGGACATGAAACAGCATCCCCAGGCAGTGGCCAACTCACCCTATGTTCTGTTTCTGGTCCTAAATGGCCACTAGAGCAGAGCCTGCATCCACAGGCTGCTGGTTACATGACCGACCCAGGCCTGGCACATAGTAGGTGCTCAATAAATACCCACGAGGACTCCTGGGCACTGTGATGCGGGTGACCACTCTGCAGCCACGTCACCCCACCCCTGGGTGAGGGCGGCAAACATGGGAGCAGGCCAGCTGGAGCCCCTGCCCACGTTCTTTCTCTCGCCCCCAGGAGACAGATACTGGGTGTTTAAGGACAATAACGTAGAGGAAGGATACCCACGGCCCATCTCGGACTTCAGCCTCCCGCCGGGCGGTGTGGATGCCGCCTTCTCCTGGCCTCACAATGACAGGACTTATTTCTTTAAGGACCAGCTCTACTGGCGCTATGATGACCACACTCGGCGCATGGACCCTGGCTACCCTGCCCAGGGCCCCCTGTGGAGGGGTGTCCCCAGCACGCTGGATGACGCCATGCGCTGGTCTGATGGTGAGCATGCTCAGGGGGGAGGCTGTGCAGCCTCAGTTTCCTCACCAGCAAAATGGGGGTTCCCTGAGCCAGGGCTTGCCTGTCAGCTGAGTCCTGACTCCAGAAGTCCACACCCCTGGCTCCCCCACCTCTCAGCCCATCCTCCACCCTGCCCACTCCCTCCACCAACACCAGCCTCTTCCTGCTTCTCAAACCCAAACACACTGGACCCCGGGCCTTTGCACCTGTGGGGACTTCTGGATCACCTTCCTAGGCACCACACAGCCTGGCCAGTGCTCAACATCTTCCAGGACTCCTGTGCCCCCAGTTTGTATCTGCCCCTGGCAGCATAGAAGCACCCCAGCTGGCCAGCCGCACAGGACAGGCAGTGTCCCTCGCTCTGAGTTGTGCCCTGACACCTAGCACAGCCTGCACAGGGCAGGGTCCTAGATAAAAGCCCAGTCAGGGAAAGGAACTCTAGAGGTGGCCCACCCACCGCCCCTGCCTCCCGTGGCTCCTCCTCCGTGGCCGGGCCCTCCCTCTCCTGTGGACCTGCTGGTGTGGTCCTCCCGCCCCGGGGCTTAGCCTGGCCCTGCTCTCCGCAGGTGCCTCCTACTTCTTCCGCGGCCAGGAGTACTGGAAAGTGCAGGAAGGCGAGCTGGAGGCGGCGCCCGGGTACCCGCAGTCCACGGCGCGGGACTGGCTGGTGTGCGGGGAGCCGGCGGCCGGCGATGCGGAGGCAGAGGCGGCCCGAGCGCAGCCGGGGCCGCAGGGCCGCGCGCAGGACGGCCTCGCCGTGTGCTCCTGCTCCTCCGCCGCGCCCGCGCCGTCCGCCTCGCCGCCGCCGCAGCTGCTGCTGCTGTGCGCGCTGGGTGCCGCCCGGGCCGGGGCGCGGTGAGCCGCGGGGCCGGGGACCCGAGGACGCCTTCCCGCCTGAGCGGCCGCCTCCTCACAAGGGCGCAAACGCGACCTCGCCCTGCCACGTGGCGCAGCGGAGACCCTGCGCTTGGTGGGGAAGGGGCTAATAGATGGCCCTCCTGGCGTCCGTTGCCACCTTCCCTTGCCTCCTGCGAGTCCCCAGGGGCCATTGTGCCCTTTTCCCTGGGAAAGTAGAGGCCCAGCGGAAAAACTCGGAGTGCACAGCACGCTCTGGACATTCATAGATACTTGTCACCCACTCATCCATCTAATCCAGTGCCACCTGCTGGGAGCTGGAGCCACCTAAAGAGGGGGGCTCATGTCTACATCCAGTGGCCACTCAGGACCTGTCTGCCAAGCGCACAACTGCCCCATTCTAGGCCAGTGTCCAGGCCTTGCTCCACCCAGCCCTCTTATCCCAGGCTCCCAGTCTACAGAGCCCTGTCCCTCCTGCCCAGATGGAAATCAGGACCCTTGTCTCCATTGCCTCCCACCAGCTCCCCTCCCTGCCAGAGAGCATCATCTTCTCTCTGGACATGCCCATCCACTCCCTGGGCTGCAGAGGGGCTTTCTCACCTCTGGACCAAAGGTGGGGTTCACGCAGGAAGAGGAGAGTGGCCAGGGGTGAGCAGGGAAGTGCCACCTCTGGGACAATGTCTTCTCCAGCAGCAGCACTGGGAGGTGTGGAACCTGCCCTGGACCTGGAGAAGCAGGAGCCCTGCAGGAGGACCTCCCCCTCTGCCTGCAGGCCTCCAAGGGGATCAGGAAGGAGGCCCCTGAATGGAGGAGGGAGCCGGGGTCCGGCCTGTGGGGTGGGGATCTGAGGCACAGGCACCTGGGAGACGGCACTCCAGATGCCAAGGTCCTGGGGTGGGTGGGGCCTGCTGGGCTCCAGCACTGCAAGGGATTTGCCCCTACAGCGTGGGAAGTCAGTGGTCACCCTGCAGCTAGGGCGGGGCTTCTCACAGGCGGGAAGGCTTCTCCTTTCACCAGATTTTCACACTTCCTGGTTCCAGGGGCAGAGGCCAGCCCATATCCTCCTGCCCCTCCCCACACACTCCTCCCCAAGCCTGGCACCTCCTGTGTCCATCTGTCCCCCTGTGCTCCCTGGAGCTGGGAATGGCCCTGCTGTAGGGTCAGACAGGGTGGGCTGGGGGATCTCTGGGAGACCTGTCCCCTGGAAACGCACCCTCCTGTTCCTCTGCAGCGCCTTCCGCGCACCAAGCTCCTTCAGCCTCCCGCCATGTTGTCTGGCAGCCTGTCAAGGAGCTGCCCTGTGGGTCAGGGGCGGCTCTGAGGTCCCCGGGCTGGTGTCCCTCAGCTGCGACCGCTGCAGTCTCACTGTTGTCCCGAAGTCCACTCTCTAATAAAACTTTTCTACGCCAGCTGGGGAGCAGCTCGGTGGGAGACCTGGGTTCGATTCCCCAGAAAGGACGTTCCTACCGTCAGTGTCCAGTGAGGCCTGGGAAGAGCTTCATGACCCCCACAACCCCTGGAAATCCAGAGGGCGTGTGGCAGGAGTGTCCAGGCGGACTACAGCCCAGGCCAGGGAGACGCCCTGCTGGACTGACCCCGTTACAGATGCAGGCACGTCACACCTGAGACGTGACCTCATGTTTATGGGAGTCTCCGGTGGAGAGTAAGAGCCTCCCTTCCTCTGAGCCATCGGAGACATGTGCTGACCCTGGGCTCTGTCCTGCTATCCTGCAAGTCTGGATGTTCTCCGAAGGCCTCAGGGTCTGCTCTCCTCAGCCAGCTCCAGACCCCACTTCCCTGGCACACGGAAGGTGGTGCTGTCACCAAGTAACGCCCACCATGTCCACTCCTGAGAGTCACATTGAAACATGGGGGACTCGTGGGTCCTGGACTGCGCTGCGTGGTCTGGACAGGCGGCTCCCGCAAGGCTGGTGGGCCTCCACACGGTTCTAGTGCCTGGGTGTGGGTTCACAGTCCCACCAGCCCCCGGAAGCCGAGGTGTGGTGTGGCAGCAAAGCCACCAACCGCCCTTGTTCCTCACAGTCCTGGGGGCTAGAGCCATGGTCAGGGGGCCGTCCTGTTCTAGTGAGGGCAGTTCCTGGTTTGCACATGGCTGCCCTCCAGCTGCATCCTAACGTGGCTGAGCAGGTGCTCTGGGTCCCTTGTTCCCATATAAGTCACCATGGTAACATGAGGGGTCCTGCTTGTCACTTCCCTGAGGCACCACCTGCTCACAGCTTCTAATTGGGATGGGGCTGCTAGCATGTGACTTGGGGGCACAAGTTACCTGTAACTGGGAGGTGGGCCGCAGCTCTGAGCTGCCCCAGGCCACCACCACGCCCTGCCCTGCCCGCCCCACCCACTGCCTCTCAGGGGTGGGTCACTCCAAAGACTGGCATGATAGCGCCCAGGTCAGCTACTGCTGGATTCTTCACCAGCCTCTCTGGGTCCTTATAACCACCCCAAGGAGAGGGAAGGTGGTTGCTTCCATTGTCCACGGTAGGGAAACTGAGGGGCGGTGAGTGACCCACGGGTCATGGAGCTGGGGGAACGCTGGGGGCCAGGCTAGAAGCAGTCCCTGTCCCCAGGTGAGTACCACCATGGAGGCTCCACACTGGGATCTTGGCATGCTGAACCAGTCCTCCAGGGCCACTCACAGGGCCAGAGCACCCTACCAGTCCCCAAGGTCACAGGGCGATGTGTGCCGGGGCCAAGGGCTTCTCTCTGGGCTTCATTCCCCCCAGCTCTGTGCTGAGCCCCTGCTGTCTTGAGTCCTCCTGCAAGTTCTCCTGCAAGTCCAATAAGGGTGGGCAAGACCCAGCCATGGCTGGACACTGAGAGGAAGCCGGTAGACAGACCCCAGTCCCCTATGCCTGCTTATTGCCCTGGACCTTGTCTCACCTGCGTACCTGCAGGATGGCACCTGGACACTGCAGAAGCAGCAGCCCACTCCGCCTCTCTCTGCCTTTTAATTGAAAAAAAAATTTTGGGTGGGGTGTTGGAGATTGAACCCAGGGGTGCTTGACCACATCCCCAGCCCCATTTAATATGTTTTCATCTTGAGAAAGGATCTCACCAAGTTGCTGACGCTGGCCTCCAGCTCTCGATCCTCCTGCCTCAGCCTGCTGAGTCACTGGGATCACAGGCGTGACCGCCTATCTGTCTCTCACTCCCTCCCTCTCTCTCTCTCTCCCTCCCTCCCTCCCTCCCTCCCTCTCTCTGTCTCTGTCTTGCTCCCTCTGAGTCCTACTCAGTCACACTCAGGTAGATCAGAACTGGCAGGTCCTGGCTCCCAGGGGCCCCAGGTGCTGGCCCTGGGCTGGAGCCCTGATGGCCTGGCCTTCCTCCCAGCCTGGGCCAGGTCCCGCAGGCAATTGGGAGTGCCGTGGGCTTCCTGCCGCCCCTGCAGCAGGTCCTGCACTCTGACATGCTGCAGGCTCAACAAAACAGGCCACATCCTTAGACTTGAGGAGCTTGCAGCCCTGGCCTGCTGTCGAGGGAAGAAGGACAAACACAGAACACACTTAGATTCAGAATCCGCACCCTGCGCCTTGGATAGCAGGGCAGGGAGGGGCACCTGGGGTGCCCAGGGGGAGCCAGAAGGGTGACCTCCAGACAGGCCTGTGTGAGGCAGGGGTGTGCTTGGAGATCCGGGAGGCTCTGGGGCTGCAAGGGTCAGCACAAGCATGGGGGGTTTCTGGGGCCACAAGGCCACTGCAGGGTTTGAGCAGCAGGGGGCCTGGGTGACCCCCCTGCAGTCCCCCTGGCTGTGTTCAAGCAGAGAGGGGCCAGCTGGGAGCAGGAAGAGCGGGGAGGAAAGTTCCTGGGCTGGTGAGGTGTGGCGGCCCCTGTGTGCTCCCAAGGCAGAGCCCCAGGACTGCTGGCCAGCTGAGCCTCAAGAGGAGGGAGTGCCAGCCATCTCTGCCTGGGCACTGGAAGTGGGTGGTCATGGCTGTGACCGGAGGGCTAGCTGGATGTGTGGGCCTGGTGTTCCCTGGCGGGGCCCGAGCGGTGCCAAGGGCTGGATTCTTCAGCACCCAGGCCTCCTGCCCCACAGAGCTCTCCTGGGGGAGACTGCACCCCAAGCTCCACGTCGGGGCCTGGGACTCCCCCAGACATGGCAGTCTGAGACTAGCAGAGGTGATCCTGGGGGAGCTCCGCTGCCCAGTCTGCCCTGGAGAGCAGGACAGGAGAAGCCAGAGAACAGACACACAGACCCACTGCACAGGGGCTGCAGCCATTGGACATGGGTTCCCTGGACACAGCAAATCTTGGTTGAGGTGGTGACACACAAGGCCAGCCCCTGCTCTGGCGGGGAGCGGCTGCCTCAGGGACAGGGCAGGAGCAGGCACTCACAGCAGCGCTCTGGTACAGAGAGAACCCACAAGGCAAACGCACAGGTGATCTGCAGGGCTGGATGGGTGTGAGGGACACAGGGCGTGTGGCTGGTGCCCTGAGCCTGGAGCCCAGGGCCCAGAGCTCAGCCTGGACTGCCCAGCATGGATTTGTACCTCACTGCTGGTGAGTGGCCTTGGGCCCTGATTGCATCACCCAGGTCCCCCAGCTGAGACCCTGATGCAACTGACTGCCACTGTGCAGCGTGGCCTGGCCTGACCGTACTGGACTCTGTCCACCAGCCAGCCAGCCAAGTCTCAGAGTCTCCTTTGGCTTCTGTGCACAGCCTTGTGGCTTTGGAAACCACATGGTGTCACCGAGTGCTGGTCCTCTAGCCACACCCGGCTGCTGTGCTGGAGGTTTGGTTTCCGATCTGTCTTGTGTGTGAGTCGGGATCTCACCAGGTTGGGCTTGAACTCCTAGGCCCAGCAACCCTCCTGCCTCAGCCTCTAGTCACTGGGCTACAGGCATGTACTGAGCGTGGCCGGGGGTGCATGTTTTTCCATGTAAAGTCAGGATGAGCCTTAAACGTGGCCCAGATCAACGGGTAGTATCTCTTTCTATTTTTTTTTTTTCCTTTTTTTTTTTTGGTACTAGGGATTTAACCCA